GGGAGAGGGAGAAGCAGGCTTCCCACAGAGCAGGGAGCCCAATGGGGGGCTTGATCCCAGGACTCTGGGATCATGACCTGAGCCGAAGGCAGATGCTTAACCGACTGAGCCACCCAAGCGCCCCCATGATTTTATTTATTTGGGTCCTTTCTCTTTTCTTTTTGCTAAGTCTGGCCAGCGGTTTATCAATCTATTCTTTCAAAGAACCAGCTCCTAGTTTCGTCAATCTGTTCTACTGTTCTTTTGGTTTCTATTTCATTGATTTCTGCTCTGATCTTTATTATTTTTCCTCTCCTGCTGGGTTTAGGCTTTATTTGCTGTTCTTTCTCCAGGTCCTTTAGGTGTAAGGTTAGGTTGTGTATTTGAGACCCTTCTTGTTTCTTGAGAAAGGCTTGTATTGCTATATACTTCCCTCTTAGAACTGCCTTTGCTGCATCCCAAAGGTTTTGAACAGTTTTCATTTTACTTCCATGAATTTTTTAAAATCTTCTTTAATTTCCTGGTTGACCCATTCATTCTTTAGTAGGATGCTCTTTAGCCTCAATGTATTTGAGTTCTTTCCAAATTTCCTCTTGTGATTGAGTTCCAGTTTCAAAGCATTGTGGTCTGAAAATATGCAGGGAATGATCCCAATCTTTTGGTACCAGATGAGACCTGATTTGTGACCCAGTATGTGGTTATTCTGGAGAATGTCCCATGTGCACTTGAGAAGAATGTGTATTCTGTTGCTCATTTCCTGCTTCCTAATCTACGAGACTCCTTGGGCACCCGGCTGGTCAGTAGGTGGGCCATGCGACTCTTGACCTCGAGGTTGTGAGTTCAAGCCCCACATTGGGTGTAGAAATTACTTATAAAAAAGTAAAAACCTTTAAAAAAAAATGAAACTCCTCTGCCAGCAATACCTTTCTATTCAGAGTAGCAGACATAATTGAATTAAAATACCATAGCCTTGTTTCAGGCTCTGGACTTCAAGATTTTATATTGTTGTAAAATTTATAATTTCCTTATACTTAAACCAATACTACAGCCTAAAACTTACACAATTGAATTTCACTCTAGAAAATAGTATATGGTATTATGTAGGCCACTACTTTATTTGAAAACAGTAAAAGCTCACCATGTTCTTCTATTTTTTTAATTTGTTTTTCATCATGTTCTTTTAAAGCTAGCCATGATATCATCCAATAACCATGATATTTTAGAAAGCACACTGTGTCAGGAATCAAGAATCCTTGATCCCAGTCTTCCTCTAGCTAGCTGGTCCCAGTGTAACTACTAGTGAACTCTCTGGAACTCAGTTTCTTCATTCTTAATCAAGAAAAATGAGACTTTCCCACGACTTCTGCAATTTCTTCTAGCCAAATAGTCAACCAGCCCATCTCTTATTCAACAGGGATGAAATTCAGGTGAGACCCTGCTTTCAGAATGCCACATAATCAAGCTATAGGCATACCTTGGAGATCTTGCAAGTCCAGTTACAGACCATTTCAATAAGGTGAATATTGCAATAAAGCTAGTCAAATAAATGTTGTGGTATATAGTGCATATAAAAGTGCATATAGTGCATATAAAAGTTATGTTTACACTATACTGTAATCTATTAAGTGTGCATTGTGTCTAAAAAAACAATGTGTATATCTTTTTTTTTTTAAAGACTTAATTATTTTAGAGAGAGAAAGCCTGAGCAGCGGGGGTGGAGGTGAGGGGCAGAGGGAGAGAGAGAGAATCTTAAAAGGCTCCATGCCCAGCACAGAGACTGACAAGGGGGCTAGATCTCACAAACCTGAGATTACAACCCGAGCCGAAGTCAGAGTCAGACGTGCAATTGACTGAGCCACCCAGGCACCCCAACAAATGTATATCTTAATGAAACAATACTTTATTGCCAGAAAAGGTTAACCACCATGTGAGCTTTCAGCAAGTTGTAATCTTTTGGCTGGTGGGGGGCTGATGGCTGCTGATCAGGGTGGTGGTTGCTGAGGATTGGGGTGGTTGTTGTAATTTCTTTTTTTTTTCTTTTAATGTAAACCCTGTGTCCAAAGTGGGGCTCAAACTCACAACCCCGAGATCAAGAGTCACATGCTCTACCAACTGAGCAGCCAGGCACCCTTGGTTGTGGTAATTTCTTAAAATAAGACAACAATGAAGTTTGCCACATCAATTGACTCTTCCTTTCACGAATGATTTCTCTGTAGCATGTGAGGCTGTCTGATAGCATTTTATCTATGGTAGAACTATCAAAATTGAAATCAATCCTCTCAAACCCTGCTGCTATCTTATAAACTCACAAAAGTCACATAATATTCTAAAACTCTTACTGTCATTTCAAAGTCTTCACAGCATCTTCACCAGGAGCAGACTGTATCTCAAGAAACTACTTTCTTTGCTCATTCATAAGAAGCAACTCTTCATCTGTTCAACTTCTATCATGAGGTTGCAGCAATTCAGTCACATCTTCAGGCTCCACTTCTAATTCTAATTCTCTTGCTCTTTCCACCACATCTGCAGTTCCTTCCTCCACTGGAGTTTAAACCCCTCAATGTCATCTATGAAGGATGGAGTAACTTCTTCCAAACTCCTATTCATGTTGATACTTTTACCTCTCTTTTCATGAATCACAGATGTTCTTAATGGCATCTAAAATGATGAATTCTTTCCAGAAGGTTTTCAACTGACTGTCCAGATCCATCAGAGGAATCACTATCTATGGCAGCTATAGTCTTACAAAATATATTTCTTCCAGGCTTTGTAGTTCCATTTATAGAGCACAGGCAGAATAGATTTAGCATAACTCTTTGGATCCCTGGGATTTTCAGAACGGTAAATGGTAAATGAGCATTGGTGTCAACTTAAAGTCACCAGCTGTATTAGCCCCTAATAAGAGAGTCAGCCTATCCTGTGAAGCTTTGAGGCAAGGCATTGACTTCTCCTCTCCATCTATGAAAATCCTAGAAGGCCTCTTCTTCCAGTATAAAGCTGTTTCATCTACAATGAAAATCTGTTGTTTAGTGTAGCCACTTTCATTAAGTATCTTAGATAAACCTCCTAGATAACTTGCTGCCACATCTCCATCAGCACTTGCTGCTACACCTTGCACTTTTATTGTTATGGAGATGGCTTCTTTCCCTAAACCTCATGCACCAAACTGCTAGCTTCAAACTTTTCTTCTGCAGTTTCCTTACCTCTCTCAGCCTTCATAGAATTAAAGGATTAGGTTTTGACTTAAAGGAATGTTGTGGCTAATTTGGTCTTATATTTAACCACTAAAATTTTCTCCATATTAACAATAGGCTATTTTACTTTCTTATCATTCACATGTTCACTGGAATGGCACTTTTAATTTCCCTCCAGAACTTTTTCTTTGCATTCGTAACTTGGATAACTGTTTAGCACGAGAGGCCAATCTTTTGGCCTATCTCAGCTTTTGACGTGCCTTCCTCACTAAGCTTATTTATTTCCAGCTTTTGATTTAAAGTGAGAGACATGTGACTCTTCCTTGAACACTAAGAGGCCATTGTAGGGTTACTAATTGGCCTCCTTTCAATATTGTTGTGTCTCAGGGAATAGGGAGGCCCAAGGAGAGAGGGAGAGATGGGGAATGGCCCATCAGTGAAGCAGTCGGAACACACACATTTATCATTTAAACTCATGGTCTTACAGGGGTGTGGTTCATGCTGTCTCAAAACAATTTTAATAGCAACATCAAAAATCACTGATCAGAGATCACCATAACAAATATAATAATAATGAAAAAGTTTGAAATATGGGGAGAATTACCAAAATGTGACACAGGGTCACAAAGTGAGCAAATGCTGTTAGGAAAATGGCCCAGAAAGACTTGCTTGACACAAGATTGCCACCAGCCTTCAATCTGTAAAAAAAAAAAAAAACAAAGTATCCACAAAGTGCAATAAAGCACAGTGCAATAAAATGAAGTGTGCCTAGATGCAATTTGGGATTGGTTTGGTTATTTAGGTAAAAGTCTCTTTCTTGCTTAAGGTAATTAGAATCTTCCCAATTCTAGGGGCGCCTGGGTGGCTCAGTCGTTAAGCCTCTGCCTTTGGCTCAGGTCATGATCCCGGGGTCCTGGGATCGAGCCCCACATTGAGCCCCACATCGAGCCCCACATTGGGCTCTCTGCTCGGCGGGAGGCCTGCTCCTCCCTTTCCCACCCGCCCTGCTTGTGTTCCCTCTCTCGCTGCGTCTCTCTCTGTCATATTGGGTGAATAAAATCTGAAAAAAAAAGAATCTTCCCAATTCTAGCACAAAGATGTGTATTTTCACCTATAGCAGTGAACAATTTTAATATATACTCCTAATGCTAAGATATAGATCCAAAACATTTCAGGATGTGACTAGTAAATAAGGAATATATCTGGTTTCTTAAACTTAGGACAACAAACATTAATTCATAGAGTAGTTGAGGCTTGGTTGGTTGGAGTCAGAAGAGAATAAAACTTCTAAAAAGATCTGGCTCTTACTCAAGAGCAGCTGTGAAGTCACCTGCCTGCTTATTTATGGGAAAGATAACACTGACTCTGGCTTACATAAATGGAGGGAGGAAGATGATAGGCAAGTCAAAATGTTCCTTCGAAGGGAAGCTGAATATTTCTCTGTTCGCCTTAATGTTGTTCACTTTAAAGATAATCTCCAATTTAGTGTTAACACTAGATTCTCTCAAGAGTAAAAAATGAACCTGGGATATTTCCATTTGGGGCAACGCTACTAAGGTACACAATAGAAAAACCTGGAGAAAAACACAGTACAAAGTTCAGGCAAATATCCCCTCTTATTACACAGTGAAATTTCTTTCCAAAATACCTTTGGCTCAGTTCTAACGGAATACAACATAATAGAGTTCTGTTACCTCAGGGTATTATCTCCACCATTCTATGCTTCTTTGACAGTTAGCTTTCTTGAAGAAATTTGCTCCAATTTAAGGAAAATCTATTAACTTGTTTAGTTCTCTAAGGTACGATTCTTCAGTACATTGAAGCACTAGCTAACAAAACAACATCATAGAAATCGAAAAGCTCTGACCAGGTAGAACCTGGAGTATATATTCCTACATTAGGGGAAAGATTGTATGTCTGTCTGCCTTAACCTTCTTCTTCATAAGCCCATGCAGGGTGATTTGTGAAGTGGAGCAATGGCACACGTGTATTTTGCTTTGGCCCGTCACACAAAATACCATCCTGTGAAGCTCCTGTGATATGCCAGGTACTGTGCAAGGTCTCTTTATGTTCATCTACCTTGTTTATCCTTACAGCCACTTTCAAAGACAGATGTCACACTTACCTTTAGTTGGGAAAACTGTTGTCAAGAAGGGTGAGCAGCTGTCCCAAATCAGACACCTGTCAAATTAAAGCCTAATGATTCACATCCAAGACTGTCTGGATTTAAAGTCCTAGAATTTTATTATAACACTACACATATTATTAATTAACTCCTCATCTGAACTGAGGCTTTGTCTTCAGAAAGCCCCAAGGTAGAGTAAAATTCATTCTTCCACACCGGGACTCCACAAGAACTAGACACTAGAATGGCAAATACTGCTAGAAGAGAAGAGGTTCGAGGATCTAAAATACCGGGTTCGGTTGGGAGCAGCTCTGAGCTCCAAAGGAAGGAGTAGGAAATTCAAAGGCAGACCACTACGCGTCGTCTTCACAAAGGTAAACCCAGCCATCAGCAGCAGCAGCTCGTACAGGGAGAAAGGTCCATGAGAGCAGAACTGCCAAGGGAAGGCTGAGGTAGGCCCAGGAGAAAGGACCTGGTTCCAAGGGGGAAAACGAGGTCACAGCACAGTGCTCTTCCAGGATCCCAGCCCACTGGGAGTGCCTCAGTGAATGTACTTGGACTAGTATGACAGTTGGATGACGCCTCTGAACACCAAGCTAATTAACCCCTTCGTGGGATGGGAGAAACATTTTAGCTCATCCTTTCTTCAGCTTGTAAGTCATAAATAATGATCACAACAATCAATTAAATGGAAGTGGGGAAGCTGCCTGACCTTAAAACAGCTCTGGTGCACAGTAGGCATTTTGGATTTTAAACTTCTAACATTCATCTATTCAGTCATTAAACTGACAAACAAATGTTCATTTTATATAACACTAAGTGCTGTGTATACCCTGAGAGAATCAGAACTAAATCCATTAAATTTTCAATAGTCATACACCATTACGCCATGTGCTATTGCTAGATCCTTCAGGGTCATGATGATTATTAGCTCTTTTCTTTCCATACGTCTCTCTACATACTTTCTCAAAGAGATCATTCATTTCCTTAGCTTCAATTAGCAACCCTATGATAATGATTCAAATATCTATTATCTCCAGTCCTACTTTTTCTCATCTCCTTGCCCTTATGCTCAATGACATCACAGATATTTTACTTAGTAAGTTCTCCAGCTTTTAAAAGCTGTTATTTCTAAAAAGAACTCCTCATCTTTCCCCATGTACCTCACCCCACTCCCCATACCTTCCTTCCTTCTGGAATTTCTGATCTCTGTTGAAAGAACCACTCTCCTCACCCATTCATTCCTTGCCTCAGTTATGAAGTCTTCTCCATGCCAGTCAGTTATAAAGTTTTCTCACTCTGTTCTGTAAGACCCTTCTGGTACCTGACCCTTTCCCTCCATCCCCATTGCTACCCTCCTAGTCTGGATTTTTATGCTGTCACATAGTTCTTACTTTCTTTCACCGATTCCAAAATCCTAGCTTAGGCCTCAACTCCTCCATAAAGCTGTTGAGCCATTCTACTCTTCATTGATCCCTGCCACTCTGGAGTTCCCTCAGCATTTATTCTATTTCACGGCGTCTGTTCTAGTTTATGATTGCCTCCTTGGTATTTCATCCCATCCCACTGCACTCCCAATGATCACAATGCCTGGTCCAACCTGGGTATGAATAGATTCTCAAAAAATACTTGGGCATGGTGACTAACATAACATAATAAAATTTAAATAAATAAATAAAGAGCAGATGATTAAAATAAAAAAAAATACTTGGGCAGTGATTAACATTTGGGCACTGCTATATACTCAGTCTGTCCCCCCTCTAATTAATATGGTGAAGCCCTAATGCCCAATGTGACTATCCAAAGTACAGGATCTCTAGAAGTGAATTTAGGGTAAAGAGGTGAAAAGCGTAGTGCCCTAATCTGGTAGGATTAGGGCCTTAGAAGAAGAGGATGGGCGATTTCTCCCTCTGTCTCTCTCTTTCTCTCTCTCTCTGCCATGTGAGGACATAGCAAAAAGCTGGCCATCTGCAAGCCACCAGAACCCAACCACTGGCCTCCTACTCTTGGACTTGCCAGCCCCCAGAACTGTGAGACAATAAACACCTACGGTTCAAGCTTCCCCGTCTACAGCATTTTGCTATGGCGGCCTCTGTCAGTATAACCAGTACTTATCCTTTATGATCAATGCTTCATCCTCATGAAAGAAAAGAAGGGCTACCATACAAAGTATTTGTTTTTTATATGTGAGGTAGCAACTGAGAGGATGGTCATAATTAATGAAGCTTCCTCCTGGCTATGGAACTTCTAAAGAAGGTGTCTGTGTCCAGCTTTCTGGACACCGGACTAGTTTTCCCTACCCCACCCACTCAGCCATGAAGTATGGATGAGCTAATAAAGAGTAAGCCCTGGTCAGCTCTGACTGGTTACGTTGCCTACCCTGAATCATTCAAGGATAGGCAAATGACCCAGTGCCGACCAGGGATGGATGTAAGATTTTTGTGAGGATTTCTGGGAAATTTCCTCGTTCTTAGCACCAAGTTACCTATTTATTTACTATAGAGGAAGCAAGGCTAAAAATGAAGCAGATACCGAGAGGGGTTAGAGTTGACAGACTCAAAAGAGAAGTAGAACTGGAGTCTTGATCTGATTATGCCTGAAGCCTGATCTCCCACTGCACTTTTTGACTCTGTGAGCCAGTAAATTTCCTTCGTTGCCAATTTGAATCTGGTCTTCAATTACACACAACCAGAAACATCTTTCTTATAGAAGGGAGAGCTAAGCTAAACCCATTACAATGAGGAAATTATTATTCACAGGAGGGAATTCAGAACTTTTCATTCTTTGTGTCTCACTCTGACCCAATTCATACCCCAAATGCTTTCTAAGGACATTTGTAACTACTCTCCAATACTGTATCTCTGTCATTGCTAGTCCATTCCACAGCCTGAGGCACTCTGAGTACACTAAACTGACATTACATTAATTTGTCCTCTCAGAACAACAAACTCGTCTCTGATCAAATAAATAAAACAACGGGATGAACAGGCAAGGCAGTTATAAAGTTTTCTCACTCTGAATAGGCAAGGCAATGGCACATATTTAGGAAGACCAAAACCCCATTAAGAAGAATTAAGGAATAATCATAAGACAATGGAAAAAAGTCTGGGTCCCACTGTCTTAGAAGCAGACTCAGAGTCAGCAGTATAAAAACCGAGGAAGACAATTAAGCAGCAGGAGATCGAGCCATATATTTTTGTCATGGTTGAGATAATAACACTTATACTAAATTCTGTTGCTGGTGCAGAGCCTATTTTTTTTTTTTTTTTAATCATTCTCAGTAGGAAAGTCCAAAGAAGATCTAATGACCACAGATTAAGATCCATGAAGAAAAATTTTAAATCAGGATAATATATCTCAGGGATCACAAAATCGAGTGCTCTCAGTGAGCAGGCAAGTACTGTGTATGAGCAGACTGTGCAGGGGAGTGGCGAGGACTGAGGCTCGGTGCTCTGTCCACACGGCATGGACTGTACCCAGCTCCAGGTGATTGCCGCCCTATAGAAATGTTAGCCTCGTGTTGTCAGATTTTCCAGTTTTTTTCAAGAGAAACTGGAAATGTGTGCATATAGAGTATGTGTGTGTAAAATCAGCTAATCAGAAAAAAAAAAAAAATCACCGTTCAGTCCCAAAAAAGTTTTGAAAAGAAGAAAAAAAGAAAGTCAGGGAGCCATTTCTCTGAGTTATTCTGTAGGGAAGTCAACTTAAAGGAACCTGGGGAGCAGATCATTTGAGCATCGTTTTCCAACTACATTCACTTCTCCTCTCCCCCCACATCTTGAGAATACTCTGTGCAGGGCACATATAATTAGTCAGAACACAGCCAGCATTAGAGCAGGGCTTCTTTACCTTCAGTGAATATACAAGAAATACCTGGGTCTCTTGTTACAATGCAGATTCCCAGGCAGCAGGTCCTAGGGTGGAGCCGGAGTGTACGTTTCTAAGGGGCTCCCAGAGGTTGTGATGCTGCTTATTCACTCTTCGAGTAGCAAGATTTTATAGCAGGTTTTTCTAGCTTTTTCTGACCACAACCTAAAATTAAAAATACATTTTACTTGGCAACCTAGAACAAATACACAAAATAAACATATAATTGAAATGGAGACAAAAGTTACTATAAGGGGTATGCTTGATATTTTTTATTTGATTCCATTGCTTTATCTTATCCTATTGTATTATATTTTATCTTTTTAAATGCTGGTTGTGACTCATTAAATAGATTTTATGACCCACTAATAGGCTATGACATAAAGTTCGAAAAACACTTCTATTCCATTTTTATTCAAACCCCTTCTATACATTTTTTAAATGTATCTTTCCGTCTCTTCAAAGAACAAAACAAGAAGACAAAAATCTGTACATGTTGCCTGAGGAACGTAGGTCAGCACAGATGACAGTCATAGCTCACTGGGGTTGAACACTTACTATTTACCAGGAGCGTGGTTAAGCCCATGTGCTCTGGACCACAAAGCAGGATTCTAATCCCAGCATAGCCACCTACAAACTGTGAAACCTTAGGCAAGTTACTTAACCACTCTGTGCCCAGTTTCTGCATATGTAAAAAGGAGATAACAATTACACAAATGCCTCATGAGGCTTTTGTGATGATTACTGTATATTTACAGCTCTACATGGATAGGACAATGTAGTGCACACAGCAAGTATCATAGAAGTATTTGCCATTGCGATATTATTACTAAGTACTTCACAGAATTTCTATCACTTAGCTTTCCAATAATCCTAAGGAAGAGTATAACAGAACTGTTCAGTGGGCCAGCATACAGCCGTTCCCACGTACTTCTCTGTTGACAGAATTCCTCTTTATTCAGGGCATCCATCCCTCACAGGTGACTAAGGAGAGAATCCTAGTTGATAAGTGATGACAATAAAACCTCTCCACTTGCCAGTGATGGGTTAAGAAAGATCATGTGAATTAATTCTAGCCAATGAACCACAAGGCATCTGGAAAATATTTCCTCTCCCTTAAAAGAAAACGGAAGGAAAAAACATCCTATCTTCTTCCACTGAATGCTGTTATGTCTAGAAGTGATACCAGAAACGGCAGCATGCATTCAGCAACGACAAGGGTGGCCGGTAGAGGACAAAGTGAAAGGAATGCTCACTTATACAAGTGAGCATGGTTACCACCCCCATTGTGGATGGGGAAGGTGAGGGATAAAACATGGATAGGAAGTTCTCAAAAATCACACTCAGCAAGTCGCCCGTTCTTTATCCACTATGCTACAATAGCCCCATTTTAAAGAACATAATTATTTTTTTAAACGCCCTGATGACATGACTTGATAGATATCCAAAGTATTTCCAGAATCAGCCATCCATCTCAAGACCTTTAAGGTCGGTTAACATGGTCATTTGCTGGGGTTAGGTAGGTTGTGATCCTGGTAACATGTACAGCATTGATATATTTCGTTTATGCCATACTCTGCCACTTTGTGCATGTTTATCACTTTGCAACTATTCTCTTCTCATTACATGTCTATAGATTAGTTTCTAACTAGGCTGTCAATTCCAAAATTATTCTGATAAACAACCTTAAGCCAAGGTGTTATTGACTAATAATAGATTAACACACCCCTGTTTCTAGACTGTCTTTGTTTTTAACATGCATCTTCCATAAAAGAATTTAAATACTCTGGAATTTCAGAGACCCTGGCAGGGATGTAAGACATAGTAGGGAGGAAAGGTGACCACTTTGACCTCTAACAATAACACCCCTTAAGGAGCTGCCTTGGCCTCTGAGTTTTTCTTCGAAAACCTAGCAGACGTTAATATTCTCCATGGCAACCTCTCTTATTATTCCAGTGAACACAGGAATACCGAAATTAAAAAGTCTTACACAGGCATGATGTTTAAAATGTACTAAGTCATTTTACAAAGTCACAACAACCTCATTTGTTTTTGTGAATCAATACTTTGATTCTAAGAAACACACTTTGATTTCACATTTTCACATCTCTGAACTGTTAGTTAGTAGTACCTTGCTATCCTTGTCGGCCAGGCAGGAATCACGATGCACTTGCTCTTGTCGGTGCACAAACTTGTCGTTCTTTCTGGTGGCAACACTGAAAACTCGAAACCCATGTCATTTCAGGACCAGTTGAGTTGCAGCTCTTGTCCAGAAGCCTTCTGATGACACCTTTTGATAAGATTTTAAAAAAGCCACAGCATCAAGACTTGTAAATAGTGTTAGAAGATTGGCGGGGAGGAATGCATAGTAATTACAGTAAAGCTGTCTTTTTTGAAAATGCTGCATTAACATCCAATATCCAAACACATTGATAAATGTGATTCAAAAGTAAATCTAAAAAGCTGGGCTCCAAGGAAAATTTCAGAATACCTTAACTGATTATTTGGTTTCTATTTTCCTTTTTCGATATACAAGAGTAAAGTGCTGGGGCGCCTGGGTGGTGCAGTCAGTTAACCATCTGACTCTTGGTTTCAGCTCAGGTCGTGATCTCAGGGTAGTCAGATCAAGCCCCGTGTAGGGCTCCACGCTGAGCACAGAGTCTGCTTGAGTTTCTCTCTTCCTCTCCCTCTGCGCCTTCTAACCCTCCTTTCTCTCTCTAAAATAAAAAGAAAATTTTAAAAAGAGTAAAGTATGACAAAAATTTATATCTAAGTCTAAAAGAACTTTTTCAAATATTAAAAGCAGATCTTGGGGTCATGAGTTTAAGTCCCATGTTGGGCGTAGAGCTTACTTAATAAAAAAAAAAAAAAGCTAACTTTAAAAAACCACAAATATCAAAAGTAAGCAATAATTCTAAGTGATAAAAAGAATTATGTCATACTTTAATTGGCATCATTTTTTCCTTTTTTTTTTTGAGGTGAGGGTCATATTTCTTTTTTCCATGTAGATATCCACATATTCCAAGACCATTTATTTAAAAAAAAAAAAAAGCTATCCTGTATTGAATTACCTTCTTATCTTTGTAAATAAACAAACAAAAAAATCAATTGATGTTTTGAATGTGGGTCTATTTCTGGACCCTTAATCTTGTCCATTGACCTAGATGTCTACACCTGGTTTTTTTTTTAGTTTTTATTTTAATCACCCAGTGCTTATCACGACAAGTGCACTCCTTAATCCCCATTGCCTATTTCACCCATCCCCTCACCCACCATTTTTCTTTCTTAATGATACCTAAAATAATGGTGCATCTTCAAGTCAAAGACATCTTGAAGTGTATGAATATGATGTTATTCACAGAAGAGCTAACAGGATCAGAAAGGCGAAATGACTTACGCACACTTGCAAGCACACACACAATTTCCACAGGACTAGAAGACAGGTCTTTTCTACGCACTGCAATATTCTGCCTCTCTTTTGATGAGTATCTGGGCATGAACCAGTTTCCTAAGGCTCCCTCTAATCCAAAAATTCAATTTGGGGACAGTATTTGCCACCCATAGCCTGCTATGTATATTGTTTCTCTAAGACATAGGGCATATGAAATGGAAAATGACAGGGCAGGGGTACTGTTTTCTCTTAAGATAAATCACTGTGAGAGAAGAACTTGATTGTCCAGATTGTAGGCCGGGACTGCGATCTGTGAGACACAGATTGTCTATGTTAGAGAAAAAGCCACATGGTGCACACGTGCTCGGTCTACTGTGACACGTATGCTCCATCGGGGCCTCTCGGCCTTTGCAGAAAGTTGTGTGCTTTTGCTAGGCTGACGTGCAAAACACAGAGTGCAAAACGTTCTGATGATCTGACGATTATGTTTCAGAGTTTAGCTTCAGTGATCAATTGTGTAAAGGAAAGATCAAAATCTTCCAAGATTTAAAATGTGAAAGTGCCTAAAGGGAATTCTAGTGTGATCCCACAGTGTTTGTTAGCTCAGATTCTTATAAGCTCCTGCTGGACTTGCAAGTGAACATTTCTCTGAAAGAAAAAATATCCTGGGGGAAAAGCTGGAAACAATATTAAGGGCTCCTGGACTATGTGATGGTGCTGAAGTGCTTGGAGTTTAAGAAATGGGCCTAGCAAAGATTGTATTTTGTAGTCTACATTCAGAATGTATGCTTTAAATTAAAAACAATAAATCTTTCTACACTCCAGTTTTCTGCCAATAATGATTTGGAAACTGAAGCACAGATCACTCAGTTGAACAGATCTATGAAAGGGTAAGGACAAACAAAATCCAAGCGAATTTTTCGTGCCATGAAGCCTTTGAGAGCAGTCTGCCAAAAGGACAGTTTATGGTTATCCTGACTTAGGGAAGCGGGGAGGTCTTGAGGAAGTGGGGGCAGGGACAAGGGAAAGCCTTATGTACTACCAAAAGACTAAAAGATCCACTCTTAATCAGACCAGTAACATTAAAATGCTTATTTTAATTTGACTTTACCTTCTTTAAAGCAAGTTATGAACTATTTAACAAACTTATTTAGGGCTAGATTTTTTGTCCACCTGTGAGCGCCAACAGCTAGTTAAATTTAGGGATTTTTTTTTTTTTAAGATTTATTTTTAAGTAATCTCTACACTTGATATGGGGCTCAAACCCACAACCCCAAGATCAAGAGTCACATGCTTCACTGACTGAGTCAGCCAGGCAACCCAAATTTAGAGATATTTAGATGGTAATTTACTGAACGCAATTTTTTGCCAGTCCTCAATTATAAAGCATTTAGTGGACTCTTCTAATAGCCTTAAACATGAATTATTTTTTGTGTGAATCTAAAATATCCAGGCCCTGTACCAAAACATCAACTCAAGTTCTTTCATTTGTACTCTTCCTTCAAATAAAGTAATTTGGTAACTTCCCCAAAATAAATAAAATTTTAAAACAATAAAATAATATAATTCAGGCCCTATGTTCAAGAAGAGGAAAAAATAATCATCAGCCAAAATGCTTCTAAGTTATTGTCAGTATTTGTTTGCAATCTGCCTCCTTCCTCTTAAGGAAATGTTGTGTAAATAATCAGGAGCATATCTCACTTGTTCTGGGAGATTGTGTCAGAGTTAAAAGAAGAAAGCCTTGAGAAATATCTTTTTAAAAAGTTTAGGCAAAAAAGGTTTTCTGGGGGGGCGCCTGGCTGTACAGCATGCTACTCTGGACCTCAGAGTTGTGGGCTCAAGCCCCATGTTAGGTGTAGAGATGACTTAAAAATAAGATCTTTAAAATTTTAAAAAAAAAAAAAGGGTTTTTTTGTTGTATTTTTCTTTCCTACAGTGATAGAAGGTTTTTAGAAAACTTAGTTTAAAATAATGAAACATAAGATTTGACAACAGACAAAACCCCTTTTCCAAATCAGTGTCCTTTTTTCCTCATTACCCACAAAACTTGAAATTTCAATGGTCCAAAAACATTGTTTTGTTGTGCTTTGCATCTCAATTATTTTCAGAGAAGCTGGTCTGGAAATTTTGAACATTCCTCAGATAATTTCAAACAAATGAATATCTATGTTTCATATAGACCAGTTTTCAACAGGGGCGATTTTGCATCTCCCCTACCCTTGCCAAACTCCAGGGGACATTTGGCAATGTCTGGACACAATTTTGGTTGTCATAACCCAGGGAGAAGGGAAGGTGCTATGGGCATCTAGTGGGTAGAGATCAGGGAGGCTGAGCCTCCTATAGGATTATAGCCATCCTATAAAACACAGCACAGCCCCTCTAACAAAGAATTGTCCCATCCAAAATGTTCATAGCGCTGAGGTTGAGCAACCTGGAAACAGACATATCTTTGCTTCTCTTTATTTGAAGAATAGGATGTACCACAGGTCCTGTGGGGTGCAATTTAGCACACACAGAGAGAGAACAATCTGACACACACTTTTCCTGCCATGTGCACTGCTGGCCCCCTAGACTATTCCACCATAAATTCTTGCTTGGACTTCTCCAACAGCTTCCTCGCTGGCCTCCTGTTTCTACTTCTGCTCTTTCTATTCCCTTCCCTCCTGGAGCAGCCAGCGTGGCTTAAGTGACAGGTATTTTCCCTTGCTATAGACCACATTAAGGTCAATATCATCTGAGACCCTGCAGATCCACCTTCTGCCTCGCTCTCCTCTAAGCCACACTGGTCTCTTAGTTGTTCGTTTTGCTCCCTTTATCCCTTCCTATCGTTCAGATCTAATCTCAGTTCCAGGAAGCCTTCTTTATCCATCTGCACTAGATGAGCTCAATCTGCTAGAAACCCTCACAGCTCCCTATACTTTTCTCTTAATACTCTTCATAATTTGCAGTATATGTTTGGGTAAATTTTTTTTAAATATCATCTTTCTATGCCAGTTGACCCTAAGTTTGCTAGTGCAGAGTCAACTACCTAATTTGCTTTTTGTTACCTCAACAAGGCCCAGCCCAGTACCTGATATAGAGCTCAATTGATGTTATCGAATGAATAAATCCCAGGTTTCGCCTTCTAGAATAGATGGCTGACACAACTGATGCGGTTGGAATGAATGTCTCCTATGTTTACCAATATACCAATATAATGCTTGCTAAGGAAGGGGAAACACTGAAAGACATAGTTTACAAGGCAAAAGCTGAGCTCGAGTTTAAACTGCTTTGCAAGGCAAAAGAAGAATTTACAAGGCTTGGAGACATGGATGACTTGGGAGAGAAGAGAACTGTGGTGTCAAAAATATAACTAGAAGCAATATGTTTGGGAGACATGGAAACTCTCTCTGATAGGAATTAACTGCTAGATTGTAGGAGAGTGACAGTAAGGATTTTGAAGTTGTTTCCTGTACTGTGCAGCTCTGTAACCCTTTACTGTTAATACAAATTCCAATTCTAATAGAGCCTTTGTGCACTTGACCTTGTATCATTGACCTTGTATCAGTGATGTTTCGTGAAATGGGAGAAAACCAGGCTGTGTCCAATGCTGGGAATAGGATGGGAAAAAAGACACCAGAGAGGGGCAGAGCCTGAGATCTCAAGAGAGAACGGCAAATTGGTAAAGAATGAAGAGAAATGTAAGTAAGCCCCTCAAGGATGACTGAAGATATTGAGATCGATGCTGAGTTTCCCCCATATTTATAAAAAGGGCTTGAGTTGATCTTCTGTTGATTTGAAAGGTCTAGTCGCTCCTGAGCAGGCACCACCTGGACACTGTTGTCTGGGTTACATAACAGTGTGGAATGAAGAAAGACTGGGTTAAACTAGATGATATCTAAGGGCTCTTTTTTGAACATTTCCCCTCTTTATTCTAACATAATTAAAGGCTGAAGCATAAATCTGAGAATAATTGCTTTTAATGTTAATATGTGAATATGTGTGTGTTTCCTCCAGCATGTCCCAAGTATTATTTCTTTTGTCCCTCTAACACGCATCCGACAAACAGGCAAAAGAAAATCATACTTAACCTTTATTCTGAAGTTCCCAGAAAGGTTTACAACTTCCTAACTAAAAGTCAGCATGACTCATTATGGCAAGAAATGGGAAAAAGAGTCAAAACTTCTTCACATCTAGCATTTATATAGTACTGTTAGCTAACACATACACGCCTGATTGTTTTTCAGTGCTTTCATATATGAATTCACTACATCTTATCAACTCTACAAGGTATCCCCATTTCACAGAAAAAAAGAATTTTTCGACACAGAGAAGTTAAGTAACTTACTCAAAGTCACACAGCTACTAAGTGGAGAGTCAAGATTAGAACCTAGGCAGTCAACCTCTGGAGGCTACACACTTAACCAATGTGTACTATGCCTCAGTGTGATTAACTTCATACTGATTGGCTTTTTTTTTGAGAGATTTATTTATTTGTCATAAAGAGAGAGAGAGAGAAATAGCAAATGCGCACAAGCAGGGGGGAGCAGCAGGAGAGGGAGAAGCAGGGTCCCTGCTGAGCAGGGAGCCCGATGCGGGGCTCAATCCCAGGACCCTGAGATCATGATCTGAGCCACAGGCAGATGCTTAACCGACTGAGCTACCCAGGTGTCCCCCGATTGGCTTTTGAAAGCGGCACAGTGCTAGGTGAAACACAGGATGACATCTCAGTTAATGCCACCTCTGTCCTTCATTTGCTCAATCCAGAGACACATCCTTGAATTCTTTCTTACATCCCACATCTAATTTATTAGGAAACTTCCGTGGCTCTGCATTCAGAATATATCCAGACTGCAACTGCTTCTCACCCTCTTCACTGCTACTGACTGCTGTGGTCTACCTAAACTTCGGGACCTCCTCGCTATATTACTGTGCTGACCTCCCAAACATTTTCTCTGCTTCCAGCCTTGCCCTCTAGTAAGCTACTCTCAACACGACAGCTAGAGTGATCTTTCAAAAACAAAAGTGAGATCGAATCACTTCTCTGCTCAAGCCCAGTTAATGGTTCCCTATTTCGTTCATAGTGAAAGCCAAAATTGTTAGAGTGGTGTATGAGGCTTCTTACTCTCAGAACCTCCTCGTTCATCATGGTGACTTCCTTCTCCCCGACCTGAGCCGTCTGGCCGCACTTCATTGATCATTTGCTCTTCCTCTCCTTGAATATTCCACGCAGGCTCTCTGCCTTCGGGCTTCTGCCCTTGCAAGTCCCTCTGCCTGGAATTCTGCATGGTCATTTGCCTCATTTTCTGAAAGTCTTCATCCAAATGACAGGCCTACCGTGAAACCCTATGTAAAATTATAAATAGCTACTGCCCTGGGCCTGTGGAATCCTATCTCTCACTCTCTGTATATTTTCCCATGTGTATTTTCCCGTGGGACCTAACAATTTTTTATATAATACACAATGTACTCTTTAATTATTGTACTTGCTGTTTATCTGTCTTCTCTACTGGAACGTAAGCTTATCGGCACTAAATGCACATTAAGTGCCATACAGATTTGTCAATGAAACAAATTTGATGATGAATGAATGAAAAGGTGGTCATAGTTAGTAACCCCAAGGAATGAGTGCAGCTAGTTTTTAACCTCAGGAAGTTGTCCATGGAAGTATATGAAATGTATTACGATTGGGCACATCTGTTTTTTGGCATGTAGATATAAGTGTTTAAAATTTTAGGAAGCTAAATTTGCCTTCCCATAAATCACCAGCATTAAAACATAAATTGGAAAGCAATGAGTATTACCACTTTTATTGTGGAATTCTCATGCCAGCACAATACCCACACATCCTTTCTCTTTTGGCCTTCAAGGCCCCCAAAAGGAACAGGAACAGTTATAGAAAAATTATATACAGGCAAATTTTGTTTTCAGAACGCTTCATCCTCCCTGTCTGCTCAGCACATCCTTGAAAATTTTCTTCTCCCAGAGGATCACTCCACCAAAGCCTTGTAACCTTGGGATAACTCAGAGAAATGCATTCAGGTGAGCGGTAGGAAGGACTCTTCCACGGGGGCTGTGCACACCATCAGCACCTAAACTGTTGTCCAGGACACCTGCATCAGGATTCCTGGGACTCTAGCTATTCCTAGAATCCCTGGGTGTTTGTATTTTAGCTTGTTTCTGATATGTTTCTTAAATCGCTCTGATTTAAGAACCACTGTTTTAGTCTAGACTTTTCCTGATCTTTCTCCCAGGTTCAAATTTGCCCTTCCCAATTCTCACTTCCTTGTGCCTGATGCTCTGCCAAGGCTAATCTTCTGAGAGATGTTTAGGCAATAATTATGGATAGTATTTTAATGTGTTAACTCCCAAGATCCCCTGTCCATAATTGCATTCAAAACCTTTCCACAAACGTGAAAACTCCCTAACTTGGTAGCCAACTCGAGGGACTGTCTGTCCTCCAGCAGCCTCACAGGGGAGAGGATTTGTGAAAGCTCTCTCCCACTCAAGGCAATTCTTGTTCTTTAATGTCCTGCTCTGGGTGTGAGGCTGAGGGGAAGGATGCTTCTCTCTGTGGGAAATAGTTCTTCTTTCCAGTGTCTTCTCATTTAAGTCATGTATTTAGAAATAAAAACCATGTTCTTGTATATCCTGTTTATATTTTATTTTACCACCTTCCAGTTTGATTGAGACAAAACCAGGAGAACCTTAGTTAGAGCAGCATAAATTAAATTTGAACTTGATCCTTAATATTTGCTGGGTTACATCATATACTGACATGGGTAGGTACTTCTGGTATTTATTAGAATAAAGTGATTCTGAGAATTCCAATAGTCTTATTTATGTAGCATTCCACTAAATACCAGGTGTTTTTAAAGCAAGGCTCCAATATAAATATAGACGATTCTCATTATTCAGGGTAGCTATGTTCTATAAAGTTGCCGTGAACACTGAATTAGTGAACAGTGAAGCATTGCTTCTAGGGAAAATACAAAGTTAGGTTCCTGCAAGCCTTCGGTCACAGTGTTTTCGTCAGCTGATCAATATATTACCTTATTTACATATTTTTCTGTTTAAAGACAACTTATTCAATAATGTCATGGCCGCCCACACTATAATTCATGCCTCCTTGATATATAACACAGAAGACACATCACAGCCTTCCTGCACTTGGGACCAGCACTTGAGAACTATGCTTGGGGGCTGTTTTAAACAGTGAAATCGAAAAAAAAAAAGGCACAAAATGAGAAAAACATGGCACATAACACTTTTCTGAGGATATTTGAAGGATCATTATAATCATAGCAGAACATAAGCTTTACAATTTAGCACTTTTACTGTATCAAAATATTAGATAACATATATTGTTAGTGAAATAGCAAATTAAAAGTTTCACTAATTCCTCTCTGTCACTCCCACAGCACTTTGCACCAATCTCCATTTTACCATATACTACGTGGGACCGTAATGATATGCTCACATGTCCTACTGTCCCACCACAATAGGAGTGCCTCAATGGCTAGGACCCCATGGTACTCACTTTTGCATTGTCTAGTACAGTGCCTGACTCATAGGAGGTGCTCAGTGCAAGCTGAATGGATTTGTAAATGAATGGCTGGATAAATGGATTAATGACTGAATGAGGTTTGTCTACCATTATATATATATATGAGGTCTTAAAGAGTGAGAGTGGGTTGAATGTTTCTTATTTGTACTGTTTGTATATTTAACACGTATCTCTTGAGTAACTGCTCTGAGCCAGCCATTGCACTAGGCAGAGGAGGTAACAAAGTGCAAAAAATTTTAAAAAGTACCTGTCATGGGGCGCCTGGGTGGCTCAGTCGTTAAGCATCTGCCTTCGGCTCAGGTCATGATCTTGGGGTCCTGGGATCGAGCCCCGCATGGGGCTCCCTGCTCCGTGGGAGGCCTGCTTCTTCCTCTCCCACTCCCCCTGCTTGTGCTCCCTCTCTCGCTGTGTCTCTCTCTGTCAAATAAATAAATAAAATCTTTAAAAAAAAAAGTACCTGTCATATGAAAATTAGTATTTTAATATCTTCAGTGGAGGAGAGGACACTAAAAAAACACATAAATGACTTCAAATAGTAAATAGTGTAATGGAGGAAAAAAACCCAACAAGGTCATGTGGGCAGCGTGACTGGGCTGGGGTGAGGGGGTTCCCTGAGTGGGACATTCGAACCAAGACCTGAATCGTGATAGAGAATCTGTCTTGCAAAAATCAGAAGGCCCATTGCCTCAGCCCAGAACTAACAGACCTCACTTACGCTCACACTTCCCGGCTAGTACTGGACACATGGCCTCAACTGACTACAAACGTGCTAGGTAGTAGTAGAGTCTCCTTTGTGCCCAAGAACAATGGGAAGTCAGGTCACGGTGAACCAGCAATGTCTATCCAGCGGCTCAAAGAAAAGGGAATGGCTAAACAATGGCTTTACTGTCGGAAAAGACAATCAATATTGAGTATTTAGTATGGCTAAAGGAACATTGGTCTAAGCAGAGGGATCACAAGTGGTTGCACGTTAAAGGGACAGAAAAGGCTGGTGCATGGCTGGGACATGATGACTGAAATGCAGTGCGGTAGGATATGGGAAGCTAGACGATAAAAAGCACAATGTGGGCCAAGCCAGGGAGTATGGATTTTACTCTAAATGCAGTGGGATGCTTTTATGAGGTTTTAGGAAGGGGAGACAGGTAATCTGATTAAAATTTTTAAAGTATCTCTTTGGCTGTTGTGTGCAGAATAGATTTTAAAGGGGAGAAGCATAAAGGTGGGAAGACAGTCAGTGGGTTCTGCACTAGGCTAGATGACAGAGGGTGGTTACTAGGCCTTGGAGAGGGCATCAAAGAGGATGAAAGATAGTTAGCTAATGTGGAACAGATAGAACTTTGTGGTAAACTGGATGTGAGCGGTTAGATATAGATAGTGCTCATTCATGGACAGAGTTGGCCCCTTGCTTTTCTTCCCATTCTTTTTTTCATCCATAAAGCTGCCAGAATATATGCAATACTATGCTCTTCACGGCAAAAGTTTTATGAATTGTATGAAATAAAGTAGATGAGACATGATGAGGCAGTAGCAAACAATTTTAAGCTTGAAAGTGAAATAGTTTGCTAGTCCTGGCCAAGCCAACTGTTATCTTTAAAAAATACAGCATATTCTTGAGTTGGGATTTAAAAATATACCTTGTGATTCAGGGTACACAACTGCAGAGGATGAGTTGGTATTGAAAGTTTTATAGAAATTAGTTTATGATCGCCTGATGTAGTCCAAGTATTAGAGTAGCAATTAAATTTTATAAATCTCTGCATTCATTGTCAATGCCAATTACATGCTACAAATGCAATTTCCTCGTTCACTACAATCACTGGTGGCTTTGTAATTACATTTTAAGAGCAACGTTCTTAACCTTATTTTTAGAAATGTTAACTGCAGTCTTCTATCCTTTTACATTTTGTACAGAAACATCGAGGTTATTTTTACATCACATTTTTTAAATGTTCAAAGCTTTTAGTGAATGGAGATGTTGGCAAAAATGAAATGTAAGCATTGGCGTTTGAGATATAACGAGGTTTGCGTTTGTGTTACGTTCTAGGCAAGAATGAAGCACAACAGAACGGGCTATTTGGTGTCTGAGCCACAAATATTCAAGACTAGACTGAAGTAGAGCTACTGAAATATCTATTCTGTTGTACAATGTGACTGGACATGTTTAATGAGCAAAAGCAGCTGAGTCACGTCTTCCATGAGGTCGAGCACCAGAGCGAAGCAGCTGTATGGTGTGATCACAAGGCAAGGCTCACAAGAAGTGGCAGCTTGTGATATTTTATCTATTTTTCCATATTTTAAACAAGGATTCCTCCAGTTCTAGATCTTTCTATATACATTTTCCTGATGCATATGATGCACAATTTGCAGAAACCACTCCAGGAACATAGAGATGGTCCCAGACTGATCCAGAGACCCACTAACCTGTCTTGCTCTTTGCTTGTGAGACCTGGCTCATTCTTCAAGTGAGCAGGAATCATTCCAGTAAAGGGACATGTTACTGCCCTAGCTGTCTCGCTGGTACTGGTGAGCCTAGGCTGCCTTCAGTAACACTGCCAGTGGGAGAAAATTTTTTTTTTGGGTGGGGGGGAGGATATAGTGAGGATCTAAAGGGATTTACCAAGATAAAAGATACAGTGGCTAGAGAAATGGAATGCCAACAATGAAGAGGAAAAGAAAATTAGGGAAAGGGGACATTCCAAGTTCGGAGGATTTTGTCTTGGTTCTTTTGAGAAATGATTTTGCAGCTTTGGGTGGGAGATTTTATATCTTGCTCTTTTTTAGATTTGGAATGTGTCTCTCTGTGAGGTAAGGACTTACTGTAAATGCATACATCGATTTCTCCTCTTTTTGCTAAGAAAATTGCCATTAAACGTGCTGTTGCTGGTCCCTTATTTTGAGCCAAGTAAATGTTTAAATATTTTTAAAATAAACATGTTTCAGCTGACTGCTGGATGAGATTCATTCCAGCCAGGAGGAACTCAGTGGGACTGTTCAAGGAGATCTGGTTACTATCCCCATGATTTATGCTTGTGGTGGAAATTGCACTATTTACACGAAGGGCATGGTTTGGGGGGCAATGGCAAGGCCCGACTGAAGTGGGAATTTGCACAGTCAATGCCCACTAATGAAAATAGCTACAGTTCAGTGCCCTTTCCAAAAGCATAATTAGGCCCTTCAAATGACATGTTATTTTCACATTTTTACTCTTACGCTGCAAACTTTTTCTTGCCGTCCAATGTCTGCATTATTACTTTGCAAAAATAATTAAGCAACATAACACTAAGCTACTAGGTAACTTCTGAAAAAATGTATCTTGGTTTTTCTTTTGTAAGCTTTACCAATTGGGGAAAATCATATTTTCTTGATAAGTTATATATATATATATATATATATATATTTTTTTTTTTTTTTTTTTTTCCAAATGGTCTGTGAGTTATCTGTATAGTGTCTGAGTAACATTGTAGAACCGCCATTTCTTGGTATTCTAAACACTTGAATGATTTCCATGTGGGTGGAGGAGAAAGGACAGACCAAAAATTACACTGAAAATACAGCAGTGTGAAGGTCCTTGTGGGTGTCCTCATCTAAGTGATGAGTGATCCAGTGGGAAATCTCTGACCCTGGGTTTGCTAGGTTTCTACTTGTTCTTTGTTCTTGCTCTCCAAGTTCAAAAGTTCTCTAATTTGTTTGGGAAGCAGAACATCCTGGAAGTCAAGGTACTCTTCATGTCACATGATAAAACACAGGTATATTTATTCCAATCCAAAAAACTGATTGAGCACAAATAGACTTATGTATCTGTATCTAGATACAGATAACCAAATAGAGATATGAATATTTATGTGTTGATTTTATGTATTTTATGTATTTATGTGTATGATTTTATGTATGTATGTCACACTCCCTGGATCTTTTATTTATAAATAAAACAAAGCTGCTTCCTGGTTTCCAGTTAGGGCTGTTTCCATCTTTTCCTGTTAGTATTTGTTTGCTACATGTTTGCTCACTTCTGTCCTAGCAGATAAGATGCAAATGCTGATGTTTTAAGAGAAAGTCATGAGAGAAAAATCCAAAATTTCAAAGATTCTATCCACTTATTTGAGATTTTTCTGAGAGCTGAGAAAATTCCATTATTTGATATTAGCAGTGAAGACACTGGTCCAGCTCAGAGTCCAGCAAAAATAGATTGGAGCATAGCTTGAGAACTGTTCTCCTAATTTGACGTTGAAAACCCACTACAATATCTAACTGCTGCTCAGAAGATGGAGGGTATTATCACAGGCCACGGTTAACTGGAAGGCAGCTTCCTTTTTCAAAAAACCTTTCTGAGCTCTATGTGCCAGGCACTGAATGAAGCCCTTTGCTCGTAATTATTTTTAATTTTCAAAACTCTAAGGAGCAGATAATATCATGTATTCATTTATTAAGACTTTTATACCAGGCACTATGCTATGCCCTGGGGATAGAACACGAACAAAACAAAGTCCCTGCTCTTGTACCAAGGCATGATTCTTTTTTTTTTTTTAAGATTTTATTTATTTGTCAGAGAGAGAGAGCACAAGCTGGGGGAGCAGCAGACAGAGTGAGAAGCAGGATCCCTGCTGACAGGGGTACAATTCTATGTTTAAATCTCTGCTCACACTTTTACAAGTTTTGTGACCTTGGGCAGATTACATAACTTCTGTGCCTCAGCCTCTTTATCTGTAAAGTGCAGATGATAACAGTTCCCACTTTAGGAGGTTGATATGAAGTGATATGATATGAAACTAATGACTTATTAGTTGTAAAGCCCTTAGAACAGTGCCTGGCAGATAGTAAGCATGATGTCGTGCATGTTCATTGTCAGGATCACTGTCGTTGTAAAGTGCTTCCTCTGTGTCAGTCACTTTTTCAAACATGCAACACATACATGTAATGGTAATAAATGATATGAAGAAAAACTAGGTAAGAGAAATAGAGAAAGACTAAAAACATTTTTACAGGTGGATGGAAGAAGCCTCATGGTGACAGTGACATTTGAACAGATACCCGACAGAAGTGAGAGACTAGATCATGGGGACCATGGAGGGAAGGAGTGGTCTGGGTGCAGGGAACTGCATGCACAAAGGACAGAGGTGGAAGTGTGTATCATGCGTTCAAAGAACAGCAAGGAAGGAGCACCAGGGTGGCTCAGTCGGTTAAGCATCTGCCTTCAGCTCAGGTCAAGATCTCAGGGTCCTGGGATCGAGCCCCACATTGGGCTCCCTGCTCAGCAGGCAGTCTGCTTCCACCACCCCACTCCCCACACCCCCGCTTCATCCACCCTCCACCCTGCTCTTTCTCTCTCTCTCAAATAAATAAATAAAATCTTAAAAAAAAAAACAAAACAAAACTAGCAAAGAAGCCAACAAAAGGGAGAAAAAAAGAGTGTGATGAGAGATGAGGACAGAAAGAGCAAGGATCATATTGTCACCAGCAAGACCCTCTACACTCAGGTCTAACTATCAGTTTTATTTCTTAGAAACTAACTAATGAATTTCTGGAACAGGAAAAGAAACAAACTCCACCTGGCCTAGATAAATTAAGAGCTTGACCACCAGGGCGATGCTTGCGAAGCTGAGCTATAAAGTGCCCGACTATTACCTCAACTTCATTATAATGTTAAGATCCCTGCCCTGGGAGAGGCATGAGCTTCATTTACATAACATACAGTGTGTGCATAGGCAGGTTGTCTAGGTGCACCTGCGCAAACCTCTGCCCGCCTTTTACATGCAATGACAAAACTCTCCCTCTGAATATTTATCACAAACCCCAAATAAAAGGAACCCCTTTATCCCTGCTCAGGGAAGCACGGCTTTGGAAATTACTCCCCATGATCTCCTTATTTGCTGTAAATAAAGTTGCCTTTGTGTAACAGCTCCATCTGGTGTAGTCCATATCTGCGGCTAAAAAGCGAGCTCACATTAGCTTCGTCACAGTATCAGGAAGAGCCTCGTATGAGACCTGTTTTAATCAGAACTTGACTCTAAATCAAGCTACAAGCCTCGGAACAGACCCCCCAATAACTTGTACCCATCTTCCCGACCAGGTTTTAAATAACTGGGTGAGATAAAGCAAGACATTTTTATCTGTTTTTCCCTTTCTCCCTCTCTCATGAATCCCGAGCAGGGATAGAGCATTCTCTCAAAACACATGTAATGAATGAATAAAGGAAGAAATTCTGCTCTAAAGTAAAGACGGAAGCCAACACACCAGCTTTATTACCTAATGAGGCAGTTGTTAGATGCTGCTCTGGGTTCTTCAACCCAGTGGACCAGCTAATGTTGAACCCCCGGAGCAGGCATAAAGAAGCAGCGATCAGTGCATCCACTGGCAGGGCCAAGGCAGCCTGAGGAAGACGGACATGATGGCAGAGCAGGACAGAGCGCCTGCGTTCTGTCGGCTGTCACTCCCAGGGGGCAAAGGGCCGCACCTCGTATTCTGTCCCACACTTATCAACCAGAGAAGTCAATCCGTCTTCCCAGGAGCAGAGTATCTAGAGACAGAGAGAAGGTCGGAATGTATTTAGGAATTACTCCCTCCATACGGAAACCAAGAGGAGAAAAAGTCTATCCCACTAATGAACGAGACAGGCATACATTCCAGGATCTGGAGGGGGGTAGGACATTCTCTGATTTACATTTTTAAAGGATTCCTTTGATTTGCCCCTCCACATCCGCTCTTTACCCTCCTCTGGCTCAGTGCTCCTAGTGAACAGGACTGGACAGAAAGGAGGGCATCAAAGAGCTCACATGGGGTGAAGTCTGGACATCCCCCTTTCTGGACTCTGGTAACTACTTCTCTGCTCTGAGACAGCACATCATTCCTTTTTGATTTCCCTCAAGCCTGTCCTTATCTTTGTAACTTGCTCCTTTATTAAACTCTTCAAATTACCTACTTTGTGTATGCCCTCTGTTTTCTGCCTTGGTTCTGTTATAGAAATACTGTTGCCCTGGCCGTTCTGGGGGAAAGGTCTTATGGGGTTAGAGTTGGAGTGAGAGGAGGAGGAGGAAAGTTTAAAAGCAGACCAGGAAGGAGTCTGCTGTTTTCACAGGTAGATGGTGGTACTGTGCGCCCCGGTGCCGACGACAGAGGTAGTGAGAGATGGCTGGAGTCAGGATGCAATGTGACGGTAAAGCCAACAGGACTTGCTGATGCACTGGGTATGGGCTCTAAGAGAAAAAAGTGTCAGAAAAAACTCCTTATTTTACAACTGTGGAGCAGAATCGTGCTGTTTAGAGGCCTGACAGAGAGAGAATTGGCTGCAATGTTTTCAGAGGTGGGAGGATATGCTCCAAGAATTTGCAAGATTGCATTAGCAAGTTTTTTCCTATTGGTATTTTAATCTCAAAACTGTGATTGCTAGAGCCTGTCCTGTGGCCTTCTGTGGCTTCTCCAAAGATCTCTAGCCCGTTGCAGATTTTTCTGCCATAGGGAATGAATTTTTACCCACTTTAATGAAAAAAGCAAACCTGTATATACACCATGCAGCCTTTTTAAGAAAAAGAGGGAAAGGAAATATTTTAAACCAAATTGCCAGTTGTTGTTGCAATTGCAAAACTCTTGATAACTGCTGTCCCACAGAATAAAACCCTAAGTTTCTGAGCACTGAATCTTCTCACTGGACCCACTGGTCATACAAACTTCTGACTACTAGTGCCTTCATATGCTGAGCAAACATGTATAGTGTACTCAGCAATATCTTAATAATACATAGGTGCACGTGCATGTTTATGTGTGCGTGTGATGAAACCGAAACCAAAAAGATAGGAACCAAATTGCTAGAACTGTAGGTAACTTCTTATTTTCTCTTTGTACTTGTCCACATTCAGAGTTTTCTAAAATAATCAAGTCTTAGTTTAAGAAACATTTTCTGTTTTGATATTGAATCTTTATACCGGGCTTTACCTGACCATCTGTCTAAACAGTTTACTCCATCCTACTTTCACACAAATGCATTCACACACTGCTTTACTCTTCTTCACAGCATATATCCCAGTCTGAAATGATATTAATGATATTATCTGCTTGTAGTTCAATTCCATCAAAAAATTTAAGCTGAGAAGGTCTTCACGTACCTCGTTCACTCTTTCAGTACCCAGATCAGTGCATGGCACTTAGGGCAATGATCAATAAATGTTCGTTAATTCACAGACAGACACACACACGTTTATTTTAAAGGTATTTTGCAGCAGGGATTGTCATGGTGATTCTAAAAAAAAAAATCTACACCACTTGTAGGAGTATAAACTGATACAAATTTTTTGAGGAAAATTGTAGCACATATTAAAAAAAAAGAAACCTAAGAAAAATCATGACCTTGATTCAGAAACTCTACTTGTAGGACTTAACAGGAGATTCAGACAAATACTTATTTACAAAAGTGTCTTTGGAGCATTTGCATAACAGTGAGAAAAATAAGGAAGCTTAAATGTATTATGAAAAAACCATAAAATAATAAATCATTATAGCAATTAAACTGGTGTAGAAAGAGGTACATCAACTATTATTAAATTTTGAAAATAGATAACAAAGTAACATGTTCAGAATTCCTTAGAGGTGGAAAAACTTGGGAACTCTAGAATATTAATTGTGGTTATTTCTGGGTTGGGAGACTGTAGATGTTGCAGAGTTTCTTCTGTGTGCTTATCTATACATTTTTAAACATCTATAATAAACTCATGAAATGTTTTATTTCATTTTTCAATAATGTTAAAAATCATAAGCAATCCAAAATGGATTTCCTAAGGACTCATAACTATAGCATAGCTCAAAGTGGAAAAAGTAAAATTTGCAAGTGAATTAGAATCACAAGTATTTCTGAATATTTCCTCCATTTGTTACCCATTTATCTCAAGTAGAACATTTCTCTGGGTTCAAAAGGGGACTTCAAGAGTTACCACCGTCTGCCAACAGAAATTATTATTGTAAATAATAATTAGGTTGACAATGAAAATGCTGGGGGGTAAATACGAAGCCACAATTCTCCATTATTCTTGAGTACAATCTACAGAGGATGGAAGAAAAGTGGTGAGGTCCTCTTTCAAATTCAAATTGAATGAATAGTAATAAGCACCACTACCTGTCCTGGGCCCACTGAACTAAGTTCTGAGGAAACAGAATGTGTGATCACATCGCTCACCAGGAACTGTATGTACTGATGCAGCTGAGAGAATTCTCAATGGACAAGCTGTCTGGAGTGCGGGCGTAAGGTGGCATTAAAGGTGAAGAGTGGTGGTGTGGACGGTGTGGGTTACTTCCTTCATCTGAGCCGTGGGTTGCAAAAATGGGATCTGAAGGTTGATACCAGTCCCGCAGACATGTAAACACCTAGAGTGCTTAAGAATAAAAGTTTTAAATCTTACTTTGTTCTTCTTAGGCAAAACACTTTGCAGCTGGTCCAATTCACAATTTCATTCACGGGCTCCTGCAATTTTTGATCCGTGTATCTGAGCTATTCTTGGATCCCTACTTGAAAGGTGATCAGCATTTGTCAAACAAAAAAATCCAGAGAACACTGCTAGTTCATGAGCAATATACCGTTAAATTTTAATAATGGTAACTTCCCGCAATTCTCAGGAAATAGGCACTAGATAGGATTTCCTCCTAGGCCTCTTTCTTAAAGCTTTGTCCTGCCTGTATATAGGCCGGGGATGAAAACAAAGAAACAAAAAGTAGCAAGCCAGTGTTAAGGGAAAACGAGAAACAAAGCATAGTTAGGGTCTATGGTGCCAGGAGAGCAGGTGTAGATCAGTTTCTGCAGGACTTCAGCTGCCAGGATATCAAAATTTGACTTTATCCTGACGAAAATCAGAAGTCCTTGATGGAGAGATAGAATAAAAATTTAAAAGCAGCCTCTAAATTTCAGAAACGCAATCCACGGATAAGAGTCCATTGTAAAGAGTAATCTCCAGGCTTGGGCATGAGATCATGCCTGTCAAACCATTTCTGTCAGTCTCCTGATTAGTGATGGGTGACTTTGCACCCTGGCTGATGAGCTGGCAAGACAGGAGCTATCGTGTGTCATATCAGAGACCGCCACAGACACCCAGGGCAATATGATTTGTCACTTAAAGGAGGAGACAGCCTGAGAGCACCCTATCCTCCGGCTGCTGAGTCATCCTACCCCAGTAGTTATTTAAACAGAAGCCTCCAGCACACACGCGATCAACACTCCACTCAATGGCCAGACCTCCAGAAGTCATGTCTAGCTTGGACTGCCCACAAGTGCAATTTTCAAAAAACGGTTTCTCTCTTCTTTTCCCCATTTTCTCACACTGGGGTTCTGACTTCTGGCTCTTTTCCTCAAAACTGGCCTATCCAGCCAGTCCTCCTATGAGACCTCGGCCCCAGAGGCCATCAACTCCTGTTGAAGTTTTCCCGTGGTCCTTCCGACTGGACTTTCTTGTATTTCTTTTATGTCAACAAACACTGGTTGAGCATCTGTTATGGGTTAGGGACTGTGCTCCAGGTAAGGGTTGGTTCAAAAACAAGTAAGACACATTGCTTGCCTTTTAGGAGCTCCCAGTCCAGGGGAAGAGACAGTCAGGGAACCAGGAAACCAGGCACCCACCATATACAAAGTGATGGCTCTAAGGCAGGTGAGTACAAAATGATCTTTTGGACCTTAATTCTGGGGGTGGGGGGGGTACAACTCCTCTTCTCCAAAAGCCATCACCCTCTCCATAGGGCTATGCGGGAGGAATTGAAGGGATGTGGACGGATGGATGTTTTAGAAGGGCGTTTCAAATCCACCAGTGTTTTCACATTTCCACCTGTCTACCAGCCTGTTTGACCCGGGCCCGGCGGCTGCTCTGTCTGGCTGTGAGTGCTGCCCACGGTTCTTCTTCCTGCCCATCCTCTAGGTGCTCTCTTCCACGTGTCAGATGAGGACTCCCTTCACATTTGGCTGCCATCTATCAGCCACAACTGTCCTGTCCAGCAGAGCTGGCTTTGGCTTTAAAGCCTGCTTCCTGGCTGGGCATCTCTACCGCTCCATTAAGGATACCATTTGATATGACATATGCTGCAGGTGCTGTTGATGAAAGTGCTGAAGGAGCTGGATGGGACTGACGTCTTTGGGGAAGGGTAAGACTCAGCGTGCGCATGCAGCTGTTCTGTCCAAACGCTCTTCTGACCTCCCAATGGAAAGGTATTGTAAATAAAGAGAAAGGGCACTAGCTTATTTTAAACACCAAATATGAGCTAGGAGCTGTTCTCGGCACTAGGTAAAAGCTTTATTTAGTTCTCACAGTAATACTGTTCTTATGCTAGAGTCCCATTTTATAGATGAAGGAAATTATGGCTCAGAGAGGTTAAGAGACTTACCTAAGGTCACAGAGCTGTGCAATTTTTTGTTGAGCTTGAATCTGAACACAGTCTATGTGATTTTGAATGTTGTATTCTTCAAACCACTGGAATAGTTCACAGAAGCAGCTGCAGAATACTAACACGGCAATAATGTTTCCTTTTTTTTTTTTAAGATTTTATTTATTTATTTTATAGAGACAGAGAGTGTGTGGGTGCACACGAGCAGAGTAGAGGAAGCGGGAGAGAGAGAGAATCCCAAACAGACTCTGTGCAGAACGTGGAGTGCAGAGCCCAATGCAGGGCTTGATCTCACGAACCTGAGATCATGACCTGAGCCGGAACCGAGTGGGTTGCTTAACCAACGGCGCCACCCAGGAGCCCCCATGGCAGTAAGATTTTTGATTCCAGTCTGATTATCAGTCTTCGAAGAGTGATATAAATACAGGACATACAGCATGAGTTTCTGAATCTTTGTTTTGAGACACGCAGCCAAACAGAAGGAACTGGGGTAGAAGGAAGCAACAAAGATATAATAAAACCAAGTTTATCAGATGAAAGTATGGATAAAAATGTTTACATTCCCAGAACTATAAATATTGAAAAATTAAAGACACACTGAGAAAATATGTCTGTTTTTATGACTTGTTGATATCCAGGGGGTTTTTCCTTAAGCCTCCAAACAATTTACAGCATTGCCAGCAGCATTCAGTACATTCAGAACAGGATCATTTCACCCACAGCTGAACGAGGGCCATGCTTGGGACAGCACCAGGAGGGCCTTCCAGCAGACAGGCCAGGGAGGAAGCCAGGGTCAGTGAGGGAAAAGCAGAGCAGAGCCATTTAAAGCAACACGGTTTATGTAAGTGTGATCTAATTGCTTCCACTGGAAATGGGTCAGATTCCAGTCGAGAGAACCAGGGGCCTTGATGACCCCAGTGAAATCAGATTGTGGCTTTTCTTTCAATCTCCTCGGAGAATATGGTCCTCTGGTGAAAGAATGATGCTTGGATTCATTTCCATCTGCTGTGTTTCCCAGTCTCTTCTTGCCTCCTCGTAGTTGATTTGCATTTTTTTTCTTTTCTGGTGAAACACGTTAAACTAAACAGGATATGTCATATGACAGACTGTGATAAATTTACTATTGGGAATAGGAAAAAAGTATGGGATAAAGAAATAGGTCTTTTTTGTCTCTCACGACCATGATTCAGTTCTGACTCAAAAGGAAGTGTGCCACCTACTGAATCACGGAAACCACTTCCTGTAGCTGTTTGGTTTATTCTGGAGGGGCATTCGGCCAAGTCCTGCCCTGCCCTGACCCCAACTGGCTCTTCAGAGCCAAAGCGTTCACAACTTGAGGTGGTTTGGCCTCGTACTCTGAGAACATTACATATTAAATTACAACTGTTTCTTTTCCTAGCAAAGAGTCTTTAGCAACATGAAAACGAACATGTGTTATTTGCAAACGGAGTGTCTCATTACTCAACCTGAACATCCATACTTTTTCATAAGGTATGTATCCCAGATGACCACTCTCAGGATCGGAATTCACGCTGCTTCTGTTTTTCCTGAGGGCAGTTTGGGCAGTCTGTAGGGTGGCATTAACCAGATGAGGTTTCAAGTGTACCCTTTCATTAGTGAAGCAATACTAGCCTTGTATTCATTCATGCAACGTATTTTTTGAGCACATGCTTACTGCCACGTCCTGTGCAAGGTGGGGGTAGAGGATACAGTGGCAAATGAGACATGGCTCCTGACCTCATGATGCTTATGATCCACACTGAATGGAAATTAGGTTCTCCTCTCCAGAAGCAAAGATTGTGCTTTGCACACAATTAAAAGGAACATCAACTAAAGGAAAACTTGTTTCCTCTTTGCCCACAGGATATTTCTGACACCAGATGCGTGGGTTTCTCCACACCAAGGAATTCTCCAATTCTCAGCAGCCACTGACTATCCTACAATTTAACTAAATTCTGTAAGTAATTGGCCAGAATTAGCACATGACCTCAATTTAAGGGCTCAGTCCCACAAGATTGCACTTCAGACGTCAATCCTAAGACCCAGGTTGTCATCTGCACTTCTGATCAATGGAATGTAAATTGAGCTTTTCCACCATCTCTTCTTTGGGTTTGATAATTAGCCAGAAGGGCTCAAAGAATTCAGAAAAATACTTCATTGACATTTACCGGTTTACTATAAAGGCTAGAACTCTGGAACAGCCAGAGGGAAGAGATACTTAAGGTAAGGTGTGGGTGGAGGGGGGTGTGCAGCTCCCATCCCCATCCCTGGATGTGCCACCCTCCCAGCACCTGGATGTGTTCACTGATGTAGAAGCTCTTAGAACTCCATAACTTAGGGTTTTTATGGAGATTCCATTGACATGATTGATTAAGTCCTTGGCCATTGGTGATTAAGTCATTCTCCAGCCCCTCTCCTCCCTGGAGGTCAAAGGGTGGGACTGAAATCACCTGATTGGATCCTCTGGCAACCAGCCTCCACCTTCCAAGAGTCATCTCATTACCATAAACTCAAGTATGGTTGAAAGGGGCTTATTATGAATAACAAAAGATGCTCCTGTCCCCGGTATTACTCAAGGAATTCCAAGGGTTTTCTGTGCCAGGAACCTGGGAGGAAGACCAAAATATGTATTTCTTATTATACCACCATCATGCAGCCGCAACGTCTAGCATTGGGCCTTGCAGAAAGGAACCCCTCAATACTTGTTTGAGTAGATACGTGAAAGAAAGAACAAAAGACAAAGAAGAAAGGAAAGAAGGAAGGAGGGAGGAAAAGAAGTCACCTCACAATCATTTCTTACTGTATTTGCAAGGGAAGACGAAAATATCCAGCTATTTGTTTTCTTTCATTGTGTCAATTCCAAATGGACTAAAGGTTTGTGGCCCTAGGTGCATCTGGAGTCTCTAGTGCTTCAGGATACATATGGGCTCTTCATCAGGGAAGTTCGAGAAACAAGGAGGCCCATTCTCATACCAGGTCAACATTAGAAGTCTTGAGAACCCTCTCTGAGAGTAAAAGCCTCTTTACTGTCCACCACAGAATAGGCCAGAATCCTTAATGATAGATGTTTTATTTCCCTGGTGGTCCATGCCCAAAAGTTATGTCAAAGAATGGCTACAAATCTGTATAACACTGAGCAAGTAATTTACCCACCTCATAGAACAGTAGTGAGAATTCAATCAGACAAGGGGCACCTGGGTCTTGATGACGGCTCAGGTGTTGATCTCAGGGTCGTGAGTTCTAGCCCCACGTTGGACTCCACGATGGACGTGGAGCCTACTTAAAAGAAAAAAAAAAACAACAACAGAATTCAATGAGACAATGTCTGGAATGGTCCTTGGCACACAGGAGGCTCCTTGTAAATAGAAGCTTTCGGGACTAACTTCTCTTAATCTCATTACCATTACTACTTCGACTACTGTTACTTAGGTTATATCCCGTAATGCCAGCAGTGTTTCCAGGATCTGACCAGTGGCTTTATGTTTAATAATGGAATTCTACAGTTCGGTGTCACAGCCTCTCTAAACCCATGCTCTCCTTTTGACAAACATTTTAAATTGACCTCCAGTTGAAACTCCCTGTCAAGAAGAGATTGTCTAGGGGCGCCTGGGTGGCTCAGTCGTTAAGCGTCTAACTTCGGCTCAGGTCATGATCCCGGGGTCCTGGTATCGAGCCCCACATTGGGCTCCCTGCTCCGCAGGAAGCCTGCTTCTCCCTCTCCCACTCCCCCTGCTTGTGTTCCCTCTCTTGTTGTGTGTCTCTCTGTCAAATAAATAAATAAAATCTTAAAAAAAAAAAAAAAAAGGAAGAGATTGTCTAGATTACTTATGTCTAATATATGAGAGCAATTTTTCCCCAAATGTAAAATTATATAATGTAGAATGTTTTAAAAAATCATATGTAAACCAAATATAACTAGTGTTATAAGATAAATAGAGGCATATTACAAATTTTAGGAGTTTATTTGAGCAACAATTGTACCAAATTGGGTAGCACCAGACCAGAAGTGGTCAGGAGTGCCCCACCAACAGGAGCTAAGAGAAAGACTTCTAGGAACGAGGCAGAAGCAAAGCAAGAGAACTATTTGATTGTCTATAGCTTAAGTGCTTGCCTTATTTGGGGAAAGCCTAACTGACTGTGATTGGTTGTCCTTTGTTTCAATTTTTAACCTTGAGGAATTAGAGGCTTAGGTTTGGGTTTGCTTATGTAGGCTGCTAAGGCATTAGAACCACTTCAGTCTAATGCCCTCCATTCTTTAATTTGACACTAGGTTTTTTTGCCCCTGACCTAAGGGTATTCTCTAGACATTTGACTTACCAGAGGAAGAAGCAAAAAAAAGAAAAAGAGGAAGAGAAGTAGGAAGAGACACAAAGAAGGGAAAAATCCCCACCAGAAATACTGAAGAGAGATGGAGGTTTTATTGAAGTTTCCTTAAGTACTGCTGAGGTGTTTGTACGGTACCCCACACCACAAAGATAACCAATGTGTTGTTCAAACCTTGACCAGTTTCCCTCAGAGTTCCCCTTCATATAGAAATCCAACATCTCCCTTCACAATAGCTTCTTCCTTACTCAGATGACACTTTTCTTCTCTGTTTCCTCCAAATTATCCCAGAGTCTGCTCCCTATTTAACCTCCTCTGAGCTTCCCTAGTTCCCTCCCCTATCATATCATTTGGCTCAACAAAGAATGGGAAGTTAGACCCTAACTGAAGTTTTCAAAATCAAGGCATTGTAAAAAGCTCTTTAGCCAAGAATCATGATAACAATTACAGCAAACAAATAAATTAGCTCACAAGTCTCAGAAGCCCAACAATATTTTAAACCCTCATCTCTACGTACAGTTATGTTCCCGTTTTTGGTCTGTTCATTGATACATCCCAAGTGGTTGTAACAGTACCTGGCAAAAATATTTATTGAATAAATAAATTAGCTTAAGAATTAACATTCCAAATAAAACAAAATGCCATTAGATTATCCTTTCTGCTTTTTCCTCTTAAATATTCTGTGTGAGACCAATAGTCACACATGCATCCATATGAAAGAATACAATTTTCTGTCATTAATTTTTTTATTATGTCACTTAAGGTCAAATGTCACAAAAAATTATATTGAACTCTTGACCAATCTATCTATTTTTTCCATTGGAATATTGGCCCAACTAAGAAATAACATCAAGGAAAAATTATTTGTTGGCAGAAAAATATCCTCTCCAAATTCTTGTGTGTTTTGTTTTGATTTTTCCTTAGTGACTAGAGGTCAGTTTCAATCCACTGAAGCACAGATTCCAAATTCTCAATCTGGTTTTCTTGAGTACTGACAGAATGCCAAGAATGAGGCAATGACACAAAATCACTACCAAGACACACACACACACACACACACACACACACACACACACACACGAGTCTAGGGCATGTTCTGGTGACTTGCAAGCTTCTTCCCCTCTAAAATGTACCCTCAAATTCTTATGAATTTTTTTTTTTTTAAATCTAATACACTGGTCAGGGTATTCCAGATCCTAAAAGATATAATAGAATCATCTACTGACCAAAGATTATGTGTCCTCTACTTATCCTTCCTTGTTTCCTTTTTTCTTTTTAAAGATTTATGTATTTGAGAGAGAGAGAGAGGAAGATTTAGAGAGAGATCACGAGCACGGGCGAGGCAGAGGGAGAAGCAGGCTCCCCATTGAGCAGGGAGCCCGATGCGGGGCTCGATGCCAGGACCCCCCGGGATCATGACCTGAGCTGAAGGCAGACGCCCAACCAACTGAGCCACCCAGGTGCCCCTAAAATTCAAATTTTAAAAGGAGACAAGGGGCGTGCCTGGGTGGCTTAGCCAGTTAAGCAGCTGCCTTCGGCTCAGGTCATGATCCCGGGGTCCTGGGATAAAGTCCTGTGTCGGGCTCCCTGCTTGGTCAATGACTATAAATGTAATTATTGAAAAAGCAATAATTTTGTGTTAGCCTAGTAATAACGGAAACTACATGTTATTTGGCAGCCTTAAAGGAATCACATGTTTGATGTAGTACAGGGACAGTGCCCTAAAAGAAAGGGTGGCATGCTGGACAGCCAAGAGAACAAACATCCACTACAAGTAATACGAGCACCGGGTTTGGATGCAATCCATCTCTGTATGAGACTGGCTGCAATTCACTCCATCTGAGCCGTTTTTTCCAGCTATGACTAGAGATATCAACACCTATCTCCTTATTTCGTGAATCTCTTTACTAAAATTAATCGTAAGCTGTTGTTCTGTGATTCTATAAATCTCAGAATAATCTTTCCCTGTTAGAGCCAACTTCTCTATCATGGTCAGAGATACTCACCTGGTTATTTTGGCTTCTCTAATCCTGCTGGTGAAAACACCTCCAAGGGTGCTTTTGGTCAGGAGCTGACAATGGCATTTAAGGTCACTTGTCTTTTGATAAAGAAGGAGAATTTGAAAGGAGACCAATAATATATATATGTATTTTTTTTACTTGGATCTAGTAACTTCCCTGATAAGGATATTTAATTCATACTTGTTACATCCTAATTAATGCCAAGCCCTTTTTATGCATTATGTCATTTAATTCTCACAGGAATCCTTTGAGATAGGTTATCAGCTAGGGTGTTTGACTATAAGTTACAGGGGAAAAAAAATCTCCAACTGACTAAAACAATACAGGCACTTGTTGGCTCACCTAACTGGTAGTCTAGAGAGAGAGCAGCTTCAGGATTGGTTGATGAATCTAGGGGCTTCATTCTGTCACCAGGTTCCTAGATCCTACTGCTGTCCTTACATCCAGCCCTAGTTTCCTCCAAACACCAGTTTTCCTTTGTAGCATGGCCATCAGTAGAAAACCCGCTTCCTTACGGAGATCTAGCAAAGGTGAGAGAGTACTCCACCAACAATGAAAAAAGTGAAAAAATTGCCTTCTCCTTATGATCCACCTTTAGTCTGATGCTTATCTCTTAAATAGTAGCTATTGGGTGTAGAGTTGGGGGGAGGAGAAATACTATGGTATGATTAACTCATCTCGTGATCCAGAGGATTATGATTATCTTGACTGATTTGGATGAATTATAATTTACTCCTGGTGCTGGGGCAATTCTCTGCACCACAATGACTACTACATAGTGAAAAAAGAATAGATCAAATTTGGGAGAGCCAACTATAATGTGTACTACAGGTAAATACTGCTAATTCCCAATTTACAGATGAGAAAACTGACACACAGGGGAAAAGGGTAAGTTAATTTGCTCACGATGATAATTGAACCTGGGCGGTTTATCTCCATTCTAATAGCAATTATCTCCTGCATGCATTTCTTTTTTTTTTTTTTAAGATTTTATTTTGTTTTTTATTTTAAGTAATCTCTACACCCAACCTGGGGCTCGAATTCACAGCCCTGAGATCAAGAGTTGTATGCTCCACCTACTGAGCCAGTCAGGTGCCCCTCCTGCATGCATTTCTTAAAGCTTATGATGTATACAAGGAATTGCAAGATAAAGAGAAGGTGTGTAAAGGAAAGACCACAGTACTAGGCGTCAAGAGATGAGGTTCCAGTCTTGTCTCTCCCACTTACTAGCTGTGTGACTTCTGTGAAAATGAGAATAATAAAACCTACTTACTGGAATAGTAGCAAATACTCAAATAGGAACCCTGCAGAAGAGTGGCATCATTTGGGAACTTGCTTGAAATGGAAATTCTTCACCTCACCCCAGACTCACTTAATCAGAAGCGGGGGGGGGGGGGGGCGGGTAGCAATAAATACTTTAATAAGCATTCCAACTATTTCTGATGCTTGCTAAAATCTGAGAACGGCTGGCCTCACACATCGCCTGGTGCACAAACTTAGGTTTGTTCTTATGTCCTAAAGACAATGAGCATGTTGACTTCTATCTCCAAGAGCTCACAAGCTAGGGAAACAAAAAGTTCCATATTAAATTCTTTAATACAGGACCATACTGAGTGATAAATGATCAAAAACAAGCTTAATGTGCTTTGAAAGCTTTTAAGGGGTTGAATTTATTTCTAACAAGGCGAATCTCAGAAGGCTTTATAGATAAAAAATAGAAAGGGGTAAAATAGCTATAAACTGTAAAGTAACACAGATAATCAAACTTCCAGAGGTTACTGCAAAGTTGTATCTAGAAAGTTAACTTAATATATATCAGTACAGGGGCACCTGGGTGCCTCAGTTGGTTAAGCATTGGACTCTTGATCTCAGCTCAGGTCTTGAACTCTCATGCGTTCAAGTCCCAAGTTAA